GATCACGAGCCCAGGCGCCACCTTGTCCTTCCCAGCACACATTCCCTTTCTCTTGGATTTTTTAGATCCAGAGGTAGAGGGCCGACCCGCTCGACCACGACCACCTGTGCATTATGACGAAATAGGCCCTCAGTCACTTGGAGCTTACCGAGAAGCTTCGCTAACAAAAAAAAAACAACTTGTTCATGTCTTAGTCAAGCGAAACTGGTCAATGCTCTTCAGCAGCAACTGGAGCAAGATATCAACCTAGGTCTCCTTCTTGATACAGACGCCAAAGACCTCAAACTCATTGAGTTAGGCCATCAGCTTTAGAACATGCGCCCTCATGGGAGTGACCTCAGCCATGGTTGTGTTTATTAGAACCCGCATATCCTCTTGTCTGGCAGCCATCGACTGGTGTCCAAAGAGCTCGTTAAGGTTAAGAAGGATGTAATAGGTGGTGTCCAGGGCTTGATGTTGATGTTGAACCACATTAGCTGTAGATGGCATAATGTAGCAACGAGATATATTGTCAGCCTTCTTCCACCTAGCACTTTTCCTTCTCAAGCTCAGTGGATGCCTAGTGGGCTTGTCCGGACAGTTCTCAAAGAGTACAGACTTGTACCCTTCTACTGTCAAGACAGAGTCCAAGTTCCTCCTTCAATCATTATGGGATTAGTAAGTTGATTTTCTTTTTGAATGACAAAAGGCAGATTGAAAGACATGATGAATGAATCCTAAGGATCACAAAAAAATTACTAATTAAACACAATTCGAATTTAAGCATTAGCATTGATATCCTCAAACAATATTAAGTTAAATTCATCAACATCTCAAACACTTAGAATGATGTATGACATGTTAGGGCAGGTCTATGCGTTCGACTTTGTAAGAGAAGGGCTTTTAGAAGATCACACTAATTTCCATAAGCCAAGACCAAATTCATGGCTAATGAAATTAATAGTCGGTTTGTGTTGTCCATGTGAGTGAAATTCAGTGACTCCGTTAGGGGAAGATGATTCTCGTCACATTTTAAGTGAATCTCATTTCTGATCCCAAGGTCATTACCGAAAGATTGTAGTCCTCATTTAGGCAGGGTGCTGCTCTCTAAACATAATTTTCTAGTATCTTTGCAGTTCGTCCTTGTGATTCTGCAAGTGATTTTTTGTAATGTCCCCGGTTAGGCGAGGTCTACACTTTGTAAAAACTACATCACTGACAAACGAAAATGGAAGCCTTAGGATTTTAAATTATCTTAGCTTTAAAATTCCTTCTCCATTTGGTATTTTAAAAGTGGATTTGTAATATATATTTAAATTAATTCACATGCCACCTTAGCAATTTAATTAATTAATTAGCTTTCCATATTAGTAATCAGTTCCAATGCATTTTGGCAGTGTAAAGTAATCATATGCATATTTAAACAACTATTGAAAAAAAAAAAATATGAGAACAAAATTTCACTATTGTAGCCATTAATTTAGGATCCTTTCTAATTAGAAAATTCCCAAATCCCGTTGGAACAAAAATTTCATATCAGAAGAATTCCTAAGGCAGCAAACTTCTTGTCCAAGTTAGCTTACTTTGCCGAAATTGCGGCACCTCGCCGGGTTCGTCAGACGTGTCATCGGAGTCTCATGTGTGGGTCGCTCGACACTTGTGTCGTGCGCTGCTGAGGCTTGCTGCGGCCAGCCAAGTCACGCCATGTCCGCCTGCGACAATGTCGCGAGAGAGCTTTAGCGATTCCTGGGTCGCGCGAGGTAAGAGAAACTGCACTTATAACAAGCATCCAGCATTCGCGATTGTCGAGTCACGCAAACTTCTTGCACAGTCTCTTCGCGCGTGCGCTTGGTGACGCCTGTTCGCAACACGCGTACAGTCCAGGTCACCGTAGTACAACTCCCGTGAACAAATCACGCACTGCCTGCAGACCCATACACGCTACCAGTCCCGCGTCATTGAGGCCTTCGGCTCCATCTCCTAGTGATCTCGCGCGTGTTCTGCGGCTAACGCTAACAGTTTTTCAGTGTTCTTACGCGACTGAATAACTGTGTTTTGTTTTCTTAATTCTACAAACACTTTTCGTACTTAGGGATTAAATACCATGATAGCTGGCAGAGGTTCTTAGCTAGTTTTTTGAATTCCACTAGGTTGTGGCCAGTTGATTAATTAGTTGTGTTTGTGTATAACGTTGGCTAGATTATGGAGAAATTGGAATTTTGTACTCCAAGTTGTACTTTGTGCTTGCAAACTGAGCTATTAATGAAAAGTTGTGAGGGGATCTTATACGCTACCCGGAGAAATTAAAGTCACTTGCTTCCGTTTTTATTTTTTGATGCTCGAACACTGTAGCGTACTTTATTTTACTCTTAAGTATTTATAAAAAGTATAGAGTAAACATGTAAAAATAGTCCAAAAATATACAAAAGACCAAATGATACTTTTGACAGGTAGAGACAATATAGACTAATATCATGTATTAACTACGAATCTAAGCCAACGCTTTATATATAAATAGATAAAACGTACATATGCCGAAAAATAGTGTGGGTAACAAACAGTATTAGAAATCCACCGGTTCAGTCAATGTCACCGCTTCACATTATTATTTATATATATAAAAGTTTGATTATTTTTAAAATAGTAACTATTTTCCGCCAATAAATTATTATTTACTATTTTAAGAAATTTATTTTTGGATAAATTTTTATTTGTACTAATTTAGGATTATATATTTTTTAATAAAGGTATTACAAAAATGCCTCCTATCATCTATGTAATCTTTTTCATAAATAAAATAAATCAAATCTTTGGATAATTTGATAACATATCATGATGATTGTCAAAAGATTATGTTTCCCTTCAATTCCTTAATACCAACAAGCCACCAAATGACTTTGATTAAATTAGATTATCATTACTAAAAAAAAAAATTAATAATTAAGTATGTGACACAATTGTTATTATATGCAAGTTTTTTTGTTATTATTTTTGGGAAAATAATTGATTAAGTATTCTTGAGGAAATAAAAATGTAGAAAAATTGTTTTCTAATCTGATATTTTCTTAAGGCGACAACATTATCCACATTAATTATTTCATAATTATAAAAGGTACCCAGTTTTTGAAGATATTATACAATAATAATATAATACTATATAAATAATTATAAAGAGTTTAAGAAATTATTTAAATAGAAAATAATTCCTGCTAAAAAATATTGTCACTGATTGAATGAGTAGAATTTCTTTTTCAAGAAATCTGATTTTCCACTTTTTTGAAATCCCAAATGTTTTCATTTTTATGAATCTACCACATAGTATAACTAACCCAAAAGTTTGTTTCACACCTTTTAGAATATAGCTGATAATTTTTTTTTTTTTTTTTTATTTATAATTTGATTTTACTTCATTTGGTTGGCAAGTCAATTTTAATTAACAAAAACACAATTCACAAGTTAAATATAATTTTTTTTTTCTAGATATTGTATACAATTCATTGTTTCCTATGATAATATTTTCATAAAATAAAGATAATTTATTATTTTTTTCTCATTTTCATTTTTCTCTCTTTTTTATTTTTCTATAAGAGAATTCACAAGATAGGTTGTGAAATATTCTTGTAAAGAAAATGGTAACTTTTTCCGGACAAAAAAATCTTATGTTACTATATCTGAAAATAAATCAATCAATACATGGTATAAAAATGAGTGAATTTATTGGTATTTGATGGCATTTTAATGGGAAATAAACCAATCAATATATGGTATAAAGTGGACGAATTTATTTTTAGTATTTGATGCATCTTCTACGGGAAATGAATGAATTAATATATGACATAAAGTGAGGGAATATATTTTTGGTATTTGATAGTTGTTTCTATCAAAAATAAATTAATCAACATCTAATATAAAATGAGCAAAATTATTTAGGTTATTTGATGTAAATATATATATATATATATATATATATATATATATATATATAATGGGATTTATTGTTTAGTCTATATTTGGATTCGAAATTTAAAAATTAAACTGCAAATAAGTACTTATTCATAACTCATGGGTCAACATTAAATTAGACGTAAATATAATAGTCAATTATTTATAATTTAATAAATTAGTCAACTACTTTTTTTTTTAATTTGGATAGTTTATACAAAAATAAAAATTTATTTTAATTAATGAAACAATATAAATTTTAATATTATACTTATTAATCACCTAGATTTTTAAATATATAATAAAATTTTACCAAAACAATTACTTTATGGAACCACGTTGTATTCAAAGAATTTCTGAATAAAAATATAAAAATGACACTTATTTTGAATTAATATAATGTAATCTATTATCAATTATATGTATGTACGGGCTGTGTACTAATTTTATATAGATGTTGTATGTAATTTTACATAATTTAAATTTCATATAACATTTTAAATAAATTAATATAGGTATATTATATTGCATATTGATTCCATAACTTTACTATATAAAAATTATTTAATGATATAAAAATATTGACGAATATCTCTTATTCGTGCATCGCATGAGATTTGTAATAGTAATTATGTACATTAAAAATTTCACAAGCAATTATTATGAGAATTCTTGATCGATACTGTTGTATTTCAAGCGTTGACTCTTTATATAGAAGTTGGATATTTTTTCGGTGCAGAGGATTTAACGCCTTGACTGCGGTTGGGTCCCACCGGATAACTCTCAAGGTCAATAAAGGAAATCTCAAATTTCCACAAGGGGCATGATTAATTTGGACAAAAATCAACAATTTATATGGCATGCAACTTTTTTTCCATTAATTATTATAAACATAGAAAAGATCATTCTAGTCTACCTATGCAAATTACATTATATATACACACACATACCACGCCATTGATAATCAACAAGCTATCTACTCGTTTTATCTATCATCCACCTTTAATTTATAGTTTAATTACTATAATATGGATTACTATAGCACTATTAGTATTATTATTGTTGTGGTAGTGATGAGCATGGTAATGGGTGGTGAATCATATTGGTTGAAGGGCACGGCGACGTGGTACGGTGATGTGGGAGGTGACGGGAGCGACGGAGGGGCGTGCGGTTACGGGCCGTTGGTCCACGTGAGGCCATATCATGGTCGTGTCTCTGCCGGAAACGCCGCCCTTTTCCAACAAGGTATGGGCTGCGGAGCGTGCTTCAAAGTGAAGTGTTTGGACCCCAGCATCTGCCGTAGAAGGGCCATTAGTGTGATCATCACTGACGAGTGTCCTCCCGGGGGCGCCTGCTCCGACAATCAGTACCATTTCGACCTTTCCGGGCCCGCCTTTGGCCGCCTTGCCATCCCCGGCATGGCAGACAGCATTCGCACACGTGGTGAAGTTCCCATTGTCTTTTCCAGGTCAGCTTATTAATTCACCTATCTATTTTTATAATTAAGCATCTGTCTTTTCACTGCATGCCTAATTGCCTCCTATTCAATTCAGATTTTAAGTTACATTTTAATATTTTTTTTAACGTTTTCAGATTTTTGATGAATTTTATGAAATCTTAAGTCTAGAGGTGGTTCGTATAAGGTTCTTTGTTTAGAAATTTCACTAAATCTTATAAAGTCTTAACAAATTCTAGTCTCAAAGTGATCATTTGAGATTTAAGTGACATTTTAAGACTTTTTAAGATTTTAAATTTTTTTAAGATGTCCGGATTTTGGAGGAATTCTATGAAATCTTAAGTCTGAGGGTGGGATATGAAGTGAGATTTCATATGAGATTTTTTGTTTAGAAATTTCACCAAATCTTAAGAAGTCTTGGTAAATCTCAGTGTCAAATAAATTAAATACCTCAAATTTTGTGAGACTTTATAATATTCAAATTGTACGGTTTTGCTATGAAGTCAACAGTTGGCTCCATAGTGGAGCCAACCTTCTATATACAACAAGTAAACCTACCATATTCTATAATTACTTAAATAACATTAATATGAATTTATTAATATGGTAGGTTTCCGCCAAATTGTATACATGACTTTTAAAAGTTTTGAAATGTCATAACAAATCTAAATTGAATACACCAAGATTTCTAAACTCTTAAAAAGTCCTTATAAATCTCAATTGAATACAGCCTTAAATACCTTAGAATTTTGTAAGACTTTTTAAAATTTCAATTGAATATTCTTCAAGACTTTTAAAAATCTTAACAAATCTAAATTGAATACATCAAGATTTTTAAAGTTGTAAAAAATCATTAGAAATTCCAATTGAATACTCCTTATAATGTTAACTGGTCTTACCATTATTTCTTTCTTTGTTTTTGAAAAATCATTAGAAATTCCTTGGTTGACCACCATTTGGAAGGATATATAATTTATTAATATTTTTAAATATATACAATACTAAATTATATAATAAATTGTATAAATCGAAATCTTATTAATTAAATATTAATAAATTAATTAATATTTATTCTAATACATACTTCACAAGTTACATTGTATAAAATAGACTAACTAATATGGGTAGATATAAATAAAGATATCAAAATTATAATATATTCACAATTATTATTTAATAATGTTTTTGAATCAATATTAGTATTATTTATTATTTATTTGTTTTAAAGTATGAAATATTACTAAAACAATGCCATTTACATTAGTATTATGTTTGTAGAAATGTTACAAATAGATCAGTTCGCAATAAAAAAAGTTCCCTATGTTTTGCAAAAAAATTTTCAATTTCGTCTTTTATGTATGTTAAGAGACTTTTTTGTAATCTTTTTGCAAACATAAGAAAAAAAAAAAATTCAAATAGAACAAAAAAATTAGGGTAGTGAAACATACGAAACTAAAATTGAAGTTTACTCATTTAGTAATTAATTTTAAAATGTTGGTGTTGTGTTGTACTTGTACATTATGTTATAACTATTAATTTCACTTTTAACTGAAATTTAATCTATTCTTGTAGGACACTTTGCAAGTATCCAGGGAAAAACATTGCTTTCCATGTTGATGAAGGATCAACTCCTTATTGGCTCTCAATTTTAGTTGAATTTGAAAATGGAGAGGGAGATATTGAAAGCATGTCCATAAAACAGGTAATTAATTAATTAATTAATCATCCTTCACTATCATGTCAATTTTATTACATACTATGGGAAGATACTACGGTCCCGTTGCGGAACCATTACGTCGGTGTTTGTAACCGTTAGATCAACTAACTATCTATGACGGTTATATGATTGATGTAACGTCTACAAACCCCGATGGAATGGTTCCGTAACGGGACCTTAACTTTTCCCCATACTATGAGTTTAGCAAATGTAACTTCTCTGGTAAAATCATGTTTGGTATTTACAGGCGAATTTTGGCATATGGCAACCGATGAGACATGTATGGGGTGCGACTTGGTGCATTGACCAAGGCCCATTACAAGGCCCATTCTCCATAAAACTTACAAACGGCCCACCCAATCAGACTACGATAATTGCCCCCAATGTGATTCCACGTGATTGGGCTCCTCTGTCTACTTACACTGCTACTCACAATTTCTAATTCTATATATATAGAATTATATCTATCGGCCCTTATGGTTGTATTTCGTTTTTTTT